CTCACCTGATTTGAAAAGTATGGACAGGACCATGCTGACCGTAATTTTTATCGGTCTATATATTTTTTGAGAATTGTTGAATCAGTACTATTCCCTGGAAAGTATTGCTTCACCTATCTCGAGCAAATTACTTGTTATTCCCAACTACTCGCAGAAAGTTCGCACTCGATTTCCGCAGTGGGCAGTCCAGTTTAGTGATGGAATCGAGAAGGGGAATGGCATGTCCAATTGCAATGGGCGATCCCGATCCAGACGTGGTGGAGAGGGTGACGAAGAGGGAAACGGATAGGGAAGCACGAAAGGTCAATGATAATGAAAGGTGAGCAATTGAAATGGAAATTAATGAGTATAAAATGGTTACAGATTTTGGCTTCTTCTGGGCAAGGAACTGCCCCCATCCAGGCTGGGAAACCAGCAGTGGTGCTCGTGCGGATCCTGTGTGTCGTTCACCAGGATCAGCGAAAACGTTTGCTGCCGAGAGGCACTGGAAGAAGGACGGGGCACGAAGCGTCTCGAGGGCTACGAGAAAAGCTGAAGGAAGCAGGACGATGCATTGTCCAGCATCCTTCATTTCATAAAGTGGTGCTGGACCCTGAGGTAGCCTTCATCTGTTATACGGTACTATTATTCTAATTAAGGTTTCGATATGCAAGTATCTTATCCATGTCACGAGCTCTCATTTTCTTCTTCGGCAGCCATCAGGTCCGCCGACCCAGTTAGGCGAGACACGTCGCTTCTTCGCTTCCAAGGATATGAGGCGTTCCTTGAGGACCTCGCTCAGTACCAAGTCGTCGCCAAATGGTTTCGTTGGACTTTAACGACCAGCTTCGATTTCCTCGAGAGGTACTTCCGCTGGATGTCGCATGTCCTCACCACCGTCCTTTCCCCGCTCATCTCAGCTAACCGCAATGTATTGATGTGTATTGTGGCCATCGTGGTGTAGAGGGGGTAGGATTGGATAGAATATTTCCTTCCGGCAACAAATTCTATCCAAGGCATTCTTAGTCTCACATATGGAGGTGCCTCCATACGGACCAACCTTTACCAAATCTCTTTGGAAAGACTCGGTAAGAACGACCTCGCGGAACTTCTATATGCCTCGCTATCCACACTCATGTCTCCGGGACGCGGACCTGGAAGAGGAGCATGTCCGCAGGAAGTTTAGGGGCCTGTTAATTCATCCTGAAAGGTTCTCAGTCATCAAGTCGTAGCGAACAACCAGAAAAGTTTGAGACCTCCGGCCACTCATGCAGGCCAGATACATGCATGAGCACGTGTTGAACATGGCCTGACTCATCTCCTGAACACGCTCCTCGTTGCTGTATGGCTGTCCACAAGTGCGATTTCACCTTCTCCATCCAAATCGCGATCCTATCGCACCGAACCTTCTTCGATGCCTGCAAAGCTGCTTATGACATCACTGTTGCCATAGCGTGTGAAAGGCTACTTCCTACCTTCCTGAGCTCATTGCCCAACCACTTTACTAGGTGCCACCCGTCATAGTAATGAACTATGGCACCGAGCTCAGGTTCCAACTCTCGCAGAACGGCTCCCAGTGCGCGGCTGCGGTCAGTCGTGAGGGAGGATACTCGGAGTCCCTGTTCAGCCATCCACCGCATCTGTCGCTCAACGCCTTGAATCTCCATACGCGTGCTGATGTTCTCTGGAATATCTATGTCCTACGAAAGTTGGTGTATGTTGTTATGCTCCTCACCAGTTTCCGACCGATGCAGTACCCCTGTGTGGAGGATGAGCTTAGGGCGGAGATCAACCAACACCACTTTGCCTATCATGGCCGAGTATCCTCTGCTGTCATATGCTCCGTCCGCAGCCACGTGGAGACCCTCACAATCCTGCATTAATGAAGACGTTATAAACTTGAAACACTGTTTGTGACTTATACGCTATTACCTTGTAGGATCTCTTCACCATCTCAATCATGAACTGCTGGTGAGCGCAGTAAACCTTGCAGGCTTTGTCCACTCGAAAATTCCATAAAAGAACATTCGCGAAAACATCGCCATGCCCATCTGCTGTGCCCATCGTGCTAATTCCTAAACTTCTCGAGGCTCGCCACATTCTCTAGTTCTCGAGCAACGTCTACTACTAACTACGTATCGCAGACCGGTAGTTATAGCCGATACGGCTGCGACAACGTTTCCTTTATACTTGCGCTCACTCGGATGGTCCACGGCTCGTTCTTGGCTCACCCACTTCTTCACAGCTGGTGGACGGAGGGAGCAGCTTTCACACACATACCGCACTACAGCCGCTGTGCCAACCGGTTTCAGCTGTGTTTCCTACTTCATGTCCGCATTTCGGACAGAACCGGAACAATGTTAAGAGTAGTGCTCCTTGCACTAGATTGTATCTACTCAAATCGTCGCCATTCGTCTTCAGAAGACGACGAGGCTCCGATTTTGAGCTACTGTCTGAGTCACTGGGAGTACTCAGAGACCTAAAATCACTTTCAGTCACAGGAATTCAAGCACATCTTAGTAGTTCATTCCTAGTACTACTCACGTACATTATCATGGTTCATTTCCTCGCCATCTTCATCACTCTTCATTTCCTAGCCATCTTCATCATTCATCTCAACATCTTCGGTACTCACCGCTACCGAAACAATTCGGAGGATGTCGCGCATTCCCCGGTCTCGGTGTTTGTGTCTCCTTTTTTGGACACCTGAACTTCAAACTTCCATTTCATGTGGATACATTCTCGAAATAGTTCGCAGACCTTTTCCTCATACTGCAGAGGCCACTCGGAGGACCCGTGATATTTCTGCAACGCCCCATTAATGAATATCCACACATCTTTAGCCGTGATGGCAGCGACGCCCTTGAATGTTCTCTTTTTGCGCAAGATTAGAAAAAGCAGACGCTGTTTCTCGACGGTGGGGAGGGGGAGCATTTTGTACTCTACTTAGACTGTTTGTACTTTAGATGGGTCGACACAGCTATGGAAAGCAAACTGCCCTCCCCCCCCCTCCCCCCATCACAGCTCTGAGCCTACATTACTGATTCTGTTGATAACGTCAACCAGATGTGATGGGATGTCCGCAGTAGTGACATAGGCAGTGCTTTTTTGTGCATTAGGATCTTCCATAATAAGAGATACTCCGCCCACTAGCTCTTAGTTCAGCACATAAGTACTGAGCCTGTTCGTGATAAATGTGATGAGAAGTACGTATAGGACCTACGCAAATCTTACCGCATGTATGACGTGAGAGTGACAGAGATACATACGGTTCTTGGTAAAATGTTCCACCAAAGCATTTGCACTACCCACATCAATGACTCCGATCATCGAAAGAGCTGCTACCGTTATGTGGTTCTGGGCTTTCGATGTGGCAGTTCTTAGATCTTTGGCGTTGGCGCTTCGTCCACATACAGTGCACAGAGCTTTCTTCATTTCGCAATCACCAAACTAAACTTATGCATCTACTCTCTTAGTAAGCATGGTATGAAGAAAAGGTGAAAGTAAAATCTGGCAGTATACATGGGACAAGGGAAGCCTGATTAAGATTGATGTGGCCTGGACACCTCCAATATTTGACCTGAAGAATCGTTCCACGTAGCATATCGTTACCTGTGATTTCTTGTTACGATAATGTCTTTTTTCATATGATCAAGTGTGTATCTCATGATATCTGTGAAAGCTCTTTGAGAAGCACCACATATTTATTCGCTAGAACATAGGGAAAAAGAACGAAGCTATAGTCTACAAATCTGTTGTAGATCATACAAACTTCACATTGGTTCACCTTCAGTTTTTTTGCACGAGTTTTTGTCATTTGCAACGGCGTTGGACCGCTCCACTGATAACTCTCCCTTGATATTTACTTTTGGTGATTATATGACGTCCAAGCATCCTGCTCTCCATCATTGTCCCGTGAGATTACGTTTGTTGGAAGTAACGTTTCTTTTCAGCATGGTGTACATAGAACATGTGTCCATTACGCAAGCGTTGTCCGATTTTGGCTACTCTTTGCAAGACTCAGATGAAGTCATGATAAAAGGTTTGTAGTGGACTATAAGTAGTGTTTTTTCTATATCGATTCATTTCAGTAGCAGTCCACAAGGTACCCTAATTTGCCACTGACGACTATCTCCTCTCCTTCGAAGTTGTTTCCTATAGTACTGCATGCTCCCCTCCGTTGCCTATACCACAGCGATACGTCGTGTCGTTCAAAGAGGTGAAGGGTAAAAATACTAAGACGTAAGAAGTTACCAGATGTTGCAGATAATCACTTGTATACATAATGCATGTACTTTCTGTTGTCTGTATAAGACATTGTTGCAGTAAACTTTTGCTCACACCTGATTCTTCCTCTTCGTGAGCGTTTAACCCGCTGTAGCTAGATCCTTGCTAATCGGTCTCGCTTTTTTTCGCTGTTCTGTTCCTTATCAGTTTAACAACTGTGTGTGATTTACACCGCCCACTTATGGCAACCTTGTGGACGGTCTTTGAAAGCTACTTGTTCCCAGGGGCATAATCTCTTTTTGAGAGTTCTTATCAATTCTCAATGGTTGCCTCAGTGGCCGGTTATTACATGCTCCCTGCTTCATACCATCACATACTGTTCATACACGTGAAAAATAATAATTTATTCACTCCTATACCCAAGCACTTTGAAAGAACATCGTGAACTCACATAGTGATTAATCCAGATAGTAATGCCGCAATATATCATCAAATATAATGAACAAGAGTCACGAGCACGCTAAAACCTAAAAATAAAGAATAAAAAGGTCTTCCGTAATAACTTGACGTGAGCATGTAATCACCACTACCGCACACACGAAGATATAACTGCTACAACTGAAGAGAAAAAGAAAGGAAAATGGTCGCGTCCGCTGACCAACAACATCCACGGTGCTGGTTTCTAACCAGGAGTTGCAAGTTGCATGTGAAGGAGTATAATTCCCAAGCTGTGGTAGCGTGCAACGTTGCAGCATTGCTGCATGAGTATTCTTCTTGCACCATCACTTCGACATTCATAAATCCGGGAATCTCGTTGGATCCTCGCGATACGATGTCGGCACGAAAAAGATTTTGTCCGAGCCGATATCGTAGGGGAGCAAGGGAATCTCTGAAAAATTACACTCCAAAACTGTACGTAGAGCCCCATGAAACGGGAGAAACGAAACGACATCCAAAAACATCCATCTCAAGGCAGACCTCTCCACCAGACAAATACGCCCCTCCCCGTCGTATAATACGTTGCGGTCCCAACCTACAAAGTGCGCTGCCCATGACAAAACTATCGGCTTGGGTCCGTCGATAAACACCATAAGACTTGTATCCCGCTCCTCCTCTTCGCCGTGCGCTCGCACAATTTCGGATCGGCAGGGGTTTCGATCTAAGGGTATTTGTTTTTCCGTTGCTATTAATTGTGACCAGAACATCAATAAATCAATCCTCTGCTCACAACTGATCGTGATGGATGGGGCCTTTACACAATTCATTCTTACAGTCTACTGAATTGGCAATCAAAATCAGGGCTGGGTGATAAAATTCGAAAAAAATCTCGAAAAACACCAACAAAAATTAGTGGGGACATACCTACACGCACAGGGAAACCAGGCGGAAGTCTTGCTTCACAGAAACGCCGCAATTTATCGAGATGCTTGAAATGGTGCGACAATTTCGAGAATATCGAGAAGAACATCTATTCCCATGGGGAAATCTTCGCTCTGGAAATCGTACGGATTGTTCGAAAGAAAAGAAAAAATAAAAAAAGAGAAAACTAGTTTTTGTAATCCTGATCATCCGAAAAATAACGGCGCATGCTCCAAAAGAGAATGAGGGACATTCTGAAACAAAAAGAGAACAAAGCAGTTGGATGCCAAATTTCAGAGCAGTAAGTCTAAAGGTAAACTTTCCTCAATGTCACCGTTTGATATTTCATAATGAGCTACATTACCGTGCTGTCTCTGAAGAAGATTTGTCAAGTTATGCCTACTCTCAATTTCCTTTTCAGCAGAACTCTGCTTCCGTAAACAACCTTCCTCATTAACAAGCGAAATTTTGGCGTCGTAATGAGTGTGGGGTGGGGTAGGGGTACACTCTGCCGACCAATTATCAGAAATAAAATTTTTGTGACGCTGCTAGAAAAAGAGGAGAGAAGTGGAATGAGAGACAGGTTACCATCATCATTATCCGTCCCCCTAACGGAAGGGTTGAACCAAATCGATAAAATCGAGCCGAAAGATGAGGAGGAGTAATAAATCATAGATAGAAATTTCAAAAAAATTGATAAAAATCACTGAGAACGTTATAGCCAAGAGCTTACCATTCCAATGAAGAGCAGTGAGTTGTTTTGCATGAACAACTGCATGAAAGATTTGTTCTTTTTGATACTCATCAGCAGTCAGATGCTCCGTCTCTTTCGTGATACTAATCTCATTCCTTCTACCAGATAGAAATTGACATTATAGTCACCAATTTGCTCCTGAAGTGGAAAACCAACATTTCATTTTTACGAGCGTTGGAACGGCGCGCCCAACAAAAGAACTACCTCTTTTTACTATGGCAGATAGTAGGTCCAATGTTAAACAGACATTACCTCTCAAGCATGTTTAAAAAACCCATCCAGAAAACGCTTGTCGAAAAGTGATCGTTTTCGTTGACATCTGGAACAATTTGAGAAAATGACGGAAACTCCACTTGCAAAGCTACACAATACAAACCTGAGCTGGAACGATATCAGACGACATCACACATCCACTTCTTCATCGACTTCGGCCTCAGATTCCTCACGACGTATTCGTTGGAAACACCTGAAAGGAGTAGCAATGTTCGATGATCTCTTTTGAAATTCAGACGGGCTGAGTTAACTAATACAATATAATATATGCAGAATGTCGAATACCTAATCTCGCTGGAATCTGTTATACGGTATTTTTACTTGAAAGAAATTTGGCAAAAAGTGAAATCGGAAACGATGGGGGAAGTAATGGAAGTAAGACTGAATCAAAATCCAACTAAATGCAATCATCAATCAATCAAGCATTAAGGGCGTCCACTGGAAGTAGCCGTACGGCCCGCTTCGCATCGAAATGCAACGTGGGTGTCACCCCCTCGGTCGGGCAGGTGGGCGGAGCGCGAATCGCGCTCATTGCGGACGGACGCCGCTGTTCCGTCGCATTTTTGGGTTGCGAAATATGCACGTCCAAAATCCTCATAGGGGGAGCTACTAGGTCCAGAGAGGGCGTGAGAACAACAAATGAACGCGGGCGCTTCCTTTAATACAAAACTGTGTTGACATGTCCTTCCAACAGCACTCCCACCAAGATATTGAAGGTACTCAAACGCGAGCAGCCTTTGACTCGTAGGTGGTCAAAACCTCGGTGAGCTTTGCAAAAGTTTCTTCATCGCCAATACGAAGCAGATTTCTGAAGGCTCCGATAATGCCTTTCTGTAGGTCTTTCTAAAATTACGATGTCAACACATCTCAGATGGTTCACAATGTCATGTTTCACCTTGACACACTCCTTTGTTTTGCGTTTCCAGGATTGCAGGATATGAAACCTGCACAAGAAATGGTCCACATCTTGTTTGGGAAAGAGAGCATGAAGCCATTGTAGAAAGCTAAGGCTTCATCTGTCACCAGTGACCTTTGGGGCAAAGTTGGGCACTATCCGTTTGACTTCATCGAAAAGTATCGCCACTTCTCTTGAAGTCATCTCACCCGACAGCAAGAAAGCTAAATAAAAAGTACTGCGGTTATATAAGGTGATGAAGCCCTGAGTACCTGCGGGTAGGCCCCGGTCACGCTCGTCAACAACCATTACAGTCGCCAACTTCAAGGCATATCTGGTGACGTTGTGAGTGTCGTCGACCGAGATGCCCCTATGGCCATACTGTTCCAGCCACTTCTGCTGGAGGCGTGATGATGACTATAAAAGGGTTTTCAGAAATATACATTGTTAGTGATAAACGGAACTTACCCAGAACAAAACCTTTTCCAGTTGGATCGTCCGGCATTTTGAAGAAACGTATCCCGTCATCGGGATTTCTTTCTTCCTCCCTCATTCTCAGAGATGTGAGATCATCTCTATCGCGCTGTCCGGGTTTAGGTTGTACTTAGTCATAATATTCCAGAGATCTCTTTTTGTTATGAAGTACAACTTAGAGTCTTTGGATTCGTGATCCTTCCTCATTTTGTGTACTATGTAATCGGTTGAAAACTCTGGAAAGGTGAGAAAATTCGCAGTTATTAAGTCCTTGAGTGGTGTTATAATCTACCTTGTAGCATGAGCTTCAGATACTCTATTTGATCGTCAGTCCACCGAAGTAGGGCCGGATCGAGGTCGTGCCCAATGTGACCAAAGCATGCTACCACGGAAACAGTATCGTCTTCATTGAAATGCACGTTCGCAAAAGCAGAGCAATAAGGATGAACTTTCTTGGTTATACGAATACGCTGTTCACCCTGAGATCTGCCTTCACCACAACGGTTGCACCTGCATAATAGCTAACTTATAGGCTTATGTGTGTATATTCGGTTCGTGGAATCTACCTAGAATGTATGAATTATCAGACCTCATAAACAGTTTCTTCTGGTTAGCTCCACTTGACCTGCAGAAAAATGAACTGCAGTGCACCTCACACATTCTTCCAAACCATTCCTTAATAAACGACTTTTTGTGAGTATCTATCGTAAATATGGTTGCCGACCTTGTATTCTTCCGAACTTGAAAAGGACATCCTATGCACTGTATAATCTTGCTTTCAGAATCTTCGGTGTGTTCCCTACCACAGTGCTGACTGAGTTCTTCTTGCGTTTTAAAAGCGCCTTCACAAAGGCAACACTTCAAAGTTGGAGTGCGACTTTCCTGTTCTGCAGTCCTAGCAACATCAACCGTTCCGCGATGCTTGGAGTTCAAGTGTATTGTCAGTCCTCTTCTCGTGGAAAAAGCAGCTCCGCACTCGTTGCAAATCTCCGCTTGCTTTCCCTGACTTTCTAATGCTGTCTTTTTCTTCTGCGCCATAAGTTCTCCAGCTCTTCCAGGGGAAAGGTTGTGTACAGTGCGCAAATGAGGACGGACATTATACTTGGTCATCTCTTTATGACAGTGTTGCAATGGCCCTGGAAGCGCGAAGAATCATTTCTCTCAAAACATCCTTTAAGACAAACCAGAAGATTCGAAAGTTACTATGAATAGAAGCTGCAAAGATACCGATATGAAATTATAGCTGATGAAAGTTCTAAAATATGTAAAAAAAAACTTGGTAAGAAAGCCGCGGTACTTTCTGATTTATCTGCGGGCGGCTGTCAAGTAAAGGCAAAGTGATTTAATGTGGATTTTATTCATCTATCTTTCGACTGCTTACAGGTTCTAATGGGAATTGTGCACGATGGATGGGCTGCTTAGATGCTCATTGCGAAAGAGGACACGATATATGCTCGAGCGGGACTTTTTGTTTTTCCACTTAGTTTCAGGGGCTTCAGTGCGAGGGGATGCGGCTCCTTTTTCCTGGCTTGATGAAGTCAGTCATCATTAGTCACGAGGAGGCACTAATTGGCATATTCAGTTTCATGTTGTGACAGCATCTAAGTACGTTTTGCCGTTTGCATCGTGAAGTAACGATGGGAATTGTAGTTGTCGGAGCTAAGGTGACTAGTCTGACCTTTGATCGTGAATCATTTACAGATTCGGCATTGTCGTAAGGGCAACGAATAGGTAGAGGAATATTCCAAAAAAAACCACAACTGGTCATAGGAGAGTAATGTTAATATACCTTCATAGCTGTCTATAGCTTGTATCTGTCACAATCGTCCCTCCGTTACGTCTCTGTATAAATGTTTACGGCTTTTCAAGAAGGCATCATGACATGCCGTCTTCACTTGTAGTACTTCAGAGCAGCGGAATATCCATGGTTAATTAAGGCTTAGCAGTTTGTACAAATGATGACTTGGATTAATAAGTCTGACTCTCTGAAAAAAATCATGGCATACAGGATATAGGCGAGATAAGCACGCACTGCGTATTCGCCTTGTGCTCTCCGTTGATCTATTCGAGTTCCTCGAGCGTGTTGCGCGCAGTAACGTCCTCCATTCGTTCCCCTGCAACGGTGCAAGAGATGCCTTCATATGATACTGTCTCTCTGGCTCGAATTGAGGACTACGAGAAACTTCATATTACTCTTTTCGTTGCGTGTAGCTTTCACGAGATGTAAGTTTATACCGTCAACATTTTATTTCTGGCGGTCGTCCGGTCGTTTCGCTTGCCGTTTCTCCGTAGATGATCCAATCGGTGGATGCCTGACGTGGTCTCAGCGGTTCGCCTCCTGAAACGCAGGACGTGCCTTGTGCCCATTCTCGATCTTTGGAACGCTTTGGCATGAAAGCGGCGTGCGTCCTTTATCTCGATCGTTTCGTGCTGTGAGCTCCAGGAGTTTTCCGCTCTCGTTCATTTTTGCGTGGTAGTTCGTGGAAAGCTTCCGGGGCATCACGCGCTGTCGATGGCGTGTTTTGAATAAATGTCCGACTATGCTATTGCTTTCTATTCCTGCTTCATTAGTAGTCCAAGTCTCTTGTATGGCGTTATGTCAATGTGCAGGTAAGGAATCGAAGAGGTGTTGGCAGGGTTGCTGGTGTTTCTCGTCTTGCTTTCGCTACTCCCGGTCGATGTTCTTAAGGCTCCCCGAGCCGCTGCGCATTTCGCTTTCCTCTTGCTCAGCTCCGGAGCTAAGTCATTCATCATATTGATTTCACGACCTAGGTATACATAGCCAGAGCATCCAGAGATAGTCGTCCCGTTGAGCGTGAATGTTGGCTCAGATAACGCTTAACGTTTCTCATGAACTATTCATTTTCGTTAGACTTCACCCTTGTATGATCTCGATTTCCACACGCTCAGTTTTTCAGCCAGCATTCGTTCCGCTTGCTCGATGTTTGGTGTTATCAAAACGATGTCGTCAGCAAAGCGGAGATGGTGTAGTTGCCGACCGTTGATCTTCACGTCGCATTTGTCTCCTACATTCCCAGTTGACGCATGATCGTTCTCGTTGAGAGAAGTCGCTTTGATAGAGCGTTGGGTCGAGATTGTGTGTGTTGACGACTGTTCGGACCCCCCGTTCACGTCGATTTATGATCTTATCGTAAAGAAGGTACATGTATCGTTGGCTGTGAAGTTTGCTGCAGAGCTCACGAAGAATCCTGATGTACTGAGTAGGAATTCCCTTTCGACCTGGTTGCCCAGGGCTTCGATAACCGCTTGTGTCTCAACGGAGTCGAAAGCTTTCTTCAAGTCGATGAACGTGAGACATAGCGGCATCTTGTACTCTCGCGATACTTCGATGAGCTTCGTTACCGTGTGGATGTGATCGGAGTCGTGCTGATCCTCTTGCGAAACTCCCTGCTGCCGTCGGCATGGGGTTCTAGGATGACTTGTGGCGAAGAGTCGTAGACTTATGCAGACTAGTCTAGGAGCATTGGGGGCTGATAATTTACCTAATGGTCGCGCTTCTTGCACTTACAGGCAACGTCATCGTACTGGTTTCCACGAGGAATGGTACGTGCATTCGCGAGAGGTAGGCGTCGTGAATGAGTTAGAGCCATGAGTTTTGAGCAAGACTGGCGGAAATTCTGTCAGGGTTCGAGGTCCAATCCTGTCGGACGGGGTGTGCCGTACCATTCTTTACCGTCTAAGTAATGGCGTGTCGGACTTTTTTCGGAAGGGAGTAACTGCAGGAACCCGATAGTATCCATCCTTGTTGCCTTAAGCGTATGGTGGCAGGTGACGTGGCTGTTCAATATGAGTCCGAGCAGAGTCGGTGGATGACCTTCTCCTCACTGCTCTCTTTCTGGATGGCGGTGATTGTTCCATTCGGACTGTGTCGGGGAAGGGTCGGTCATTGTTTGGCCTTGGTCAATTGCGCGAAGTCGGCGGCGGGCATTGCAGTATGCTCTAGGGCCTCTTGAGGCTTCCACCAGTACTGCTGCTCTTCTCTCCTTGAGGTCTTCCTTTATCGCTTCTCTGCATAGCTTCGCAAGCTCAGACGTCACTGGCAATTGCCTGCGCTCGTGCGCTCCACGTGGCGAATCAGCTCGAGTTTCCAGAGATAGACGCTTCTTGGTAATCTTGGAACTCTCTGACTTCTTGGCGCAGTCGTGAAGATGTGCGACAAGCCGTTCGTATTCCTCGTCGATGTTGTCGATGACGGAATCCTCCCAGAGCCCAGCGAGAGAAGTGAAGTGATCCCAGTTGATGACGGTCTTGGGGCTTCGCTTCTTGAACTTTGCGGCTCTCTCTCCTCGCATCGAAAAGCGGAATCTTGCGCGAAGGAGACGGTGGTCGGATCCCGTGTAGAACTTAGGGACAACAGCGACATCGGTCAGGCAAAACCTTCGATTGAAGATGATGTGGTCGATCTCATTGTCGTGCTCCTGCTCGACCATCTACACCACTTAATCTGAGAAGAACTTAAATGCCAAACGAACATTTTCGGACAGCGGACGAGCGTCGCGGTCATTGCATGGGTCGCGTTGAATCTGGCGCGAGGGAGGAGAAAATTGGAAGTTGAAACCTGCAGTGTTTGATATATTGGAAGGTGAATGAGTAGTTTCCCATATGTTCCTTTCTCCGTTCGCAGACCGTTCATGGAGTCACTTAGACATGAGCTACAATCATAGACACACTCACGCAGCGCAAAAAAGTACACGGATTCTAAAGCCTCTGTCGTACGGAACCTTATGTCGGTTTTTTTCTGAGTTTTTAGAATCTTTCATGAGCAAAGATAGAAATTTCGAAGACATAAATCTAGTGCGACAGGGTTAATGGGTACTTCAGAAGGGTGAAGTGCTAGCAAAGGAGGTGCGCGGTAGTTCACTTTAGGACTGAAGGCAAAGATGACGACGAAAATATCTTTATCTCCATGTGATAACAAGAATCCTAGAAACACCAATGCTAGAGCAACTGAGTGGGTGCAATAGGATAACTGTTCCACATAGGTGCATTTGAAGTATGTACAAGTTCCAGAAAATATGTTTTGTGTTGTAGCACAGACATTCGTGATGTGGCGCCCTAAACAAGTTTAGTGTGATCGCAATTTTCTTTTGGATTCGAGGATAAACTGAGCGTTACGGTTAACAACGTGGATAAAGAAGTGTCTGTGGTAGGACTCCTGAGATTCCAGAAAACTAGAAGGAAGTCCCCCCAATTTGAAGTATGTTTCAGGGTTTCATAGCTCTCGATCGCATCATTTCCTACAAATCAAATGATGTTCTCGCTCCTACGAGTGTCTCGTGGGTTACGGGGCTGTTGTCAATCAAACGTGCTCTCGCTGCGAGGGTCCAGGGTTTATTCTCGAGGCATCTACCAGTCCAGTAGTTGAAGGGAGAAGGTAAAGGAGGAGGGATCAGAGAAGGAGGAAGGAAAAGAAGGAAGGAGGAAGAAAAAAGGAAAGAGAAGAGAGGCTTCTCGGTTGACAAGTGCCCTGAGACGGTCCAAAAATGTTCGTTTGTGGCATTTAAGTTCTTCTCTTAATCTGAACTCTCTACTGATTTGAGGAAAGTTTTGAACTTCCGGTCAAACACAACACACACACGCCTAGCGGATTATATGGTTGAAAGAAATTAGGCCTTTGCCTTTCATACGGCTACCCACCATTTACGTACTTTAAGGAGAAGTCTGAGGGGACGCAGATAATCGAAATATGCCGCGAAATTTCATTAATCAGACGTTAATTATGCTGTCTCCTACGCAGATGCACCACTGACGAGCATTGGACGTCCCAATTTAAAGCACACACATTGTGCTGTGAATTCCGAAACATCTTCTGTACTGGCGTCAAGAACTAGTTGAGAAATTCTTTGTATGGTAGGATGGCCCTCTGAAGCTTGTGCTATGCGCTGATTGCTATTTCTTTCGTCAAGCATCCGTCTGACAGCAAATATACACAATGTCAAGAATTAATGTGGTCGAGTTCTATTCTGGTGTTGGAGGGGTACACTATGCTTTGAAAGGTATGTTTTCTTATTTCTGTGTGCATCTTTATTTTATTGTCGTCCATGCATTTGTCAGAGACCGGTTTGGACTTCTGCGTGGTTGCTGCTTATGACATCAATACGACTGCCAATATGATCTATGCGTATAACTTCCCGAACACGCCTCTTTGTCAAAATAACATACAGGTATTGTGGAAATCTCAGTATGATGACATAATCATGTAAAGAAGTCAGACGCTATACATAGTTTCGGGGTTGGAGTACGGATAGTCTCGCGGGAGACGTAGTCACCGTGGTCTCCACTAAAGCCTCGGTTAGGGAAGGGATACAGAGGCGGTGGCGAGCGGTCCCCCTTCTCAATTACGTCAGCGCCAAAAGTCAGTAACTTGTGAGATTAATGTGTAAGTAGTTCCTTGGTTGTGCTAAGAAATGGAATGCACGATCTTATTCCAGACTCGTACTTTTCTTAGGTCCGTTCATACATTTCGACGCCGTCGCCGACATCATCGGCGACAGTATTGATCCGAGGTACCTGACGTAATCGGCGACAAAATATTAGTTAGATACGTATAGATCCGACGTAGTCGTCACACCCGACGTAACCGACATTTCGAGGTCAGTCGATACGTAAGGCTGCGTTCATACTTTGCGGTGGCTTACGGCAGCGTTTCCAGCGTCCAGCAGCGCAGTGACTAGGAAAGCATAGATATAGATCTAGCGTCTACCAGCGTTCAGCCGCGTTCACCAGCGTCTCGATGGCTGGGGAAATACAAGTGTCAATCTAGCGCCTGCCAGCGTCCACTAGCATTTACCAGCTGCCGGGAGTAGGGAGTATGGGGAAGTAGGAGGGTAGCAAACAGCTGGATTAGGCGTCGTGAAATTGCGGCGTGTGCAACCGCACCGCACAACTGCTAAAGCACAGAATTATGCAATTTAATGTACGGTGTAGTGTGGTTGTACGGTGCGGTTGCACCAGGGCACATCTGTGTTGGGGAATCCCCAAAAAGGGGGGGGGTCGTATTTGGGCTGGGAAAAATTTATTTTGATAGTTGCTTCACGAGCGTTGTAAAGGGGGGTCGTACTTGGTCATTGTTGGGAGGGGGTCGTATTTACGTTTTGGCGTTGTAGGAGCGGTGGTTGACTTTTTGTGATTTTCCTGTTTCATGCGTACTATATACCCCCCCCCGCTCGACAGCAAAATTTTTGGGGAAAAGTAGGGAACTTTTCGGGAAATTTTGGAAAAAAAGTGGCAGGAAGTTGGGGAAAATCTGAAAATTGGTAGAGGGGGTCGTATTGTCTCGCGACTTTTCCTGTTTCACATGTGCTATTTACCCCCCGCTCGACGGCTCGATTCGATGAGGAAGGACAGAGGGCCAAAGGGGGGGGAGGTCGTACCCGACTAAAATCCCAACCAGTGATGTGCCCTGGATTGCACGCGTCACAATTTCACGACTTTTTGCTACTCTCCTACTCCCCCTTACTCTCTACTTCCGACCGCTGGTGAACTTTGCTGCACGCTGGTAGACGCTAGATCGATGTCTGTTCTTACCCTAGTCACTGACGCAGAAAACACTGCCGTACTCCGGTGTACGCCGGCGTACGCTGCCGCAAAGTACGAACGCAGCCTGGCTAATCTTCCGCCTACGATTACGTCGGTCACTTTGGATCGATACATATATAATTTTCTATCGTCGGTTACGTCGACGTCGGCGACGACGTCGTGAGGTGTGAAAGCAGCCTTAAACATTCTTCACACGATTAAGTGCAGTCTTCAACCTCACTTTCTAATTGTTCAATATTGAATTCAGTAAATCATGCCCGCATTTCTTTTTGTGGCTAAGGAATCACATCAGAGGTTCCGGAATCTGACTTTTCCCGCAATGTTCTGCATTGTTTATAGTCACTGGAAGTTATGTAGCCTGCTGCTCCTCTATTTTCTATCCGCAATCCGCTGCACTATATGTTGTTGAGCAGTTACCCTAAAGATGCTAGAAACGTCTGGAAAGAAATGCTTAGGGACTAGGATTACGGGAGACGGTCAAGACACTGCAAATCTGCCCGTCCTTGCGCGCGACCTCTTCTCAGTCTGCATTAGCCCGTCGCCTGGAGCGCAGGATTTCACGTTAGCCCCACATGACAACTACAGATCCTGGAAAATCGTGTAAAATAATGCTGGCGGACCTCTACTTGCTTCATCATTTGTTAAAGTCGCTCGAAAGGTCTTCTTTTTTCTTGTTTTTAATTAGCTTAACTCTTTGTCAGTTTCTGCATGAGGTTCGCTGTTCTAGTAGTCATTTTTAGGCTATTTCATTGCAACATCTTGAAAAACTGGATGCCCATTTATGGACAATGAGCCCTCCTTGTCAGCCATTCACAAAGTTAGTGTTTCACGGAGTCTTTTATTTTCCACTGGTTCTATGATTACATTTTTTATTCTTCTGTTAGAGGTTCTTCATTAAGTTGTGTCCGCTTCATTTTTGGATTTTTTTTATCAAGTTTAGTAGGTGTTTTGGGTTGAGGAACAAATTGTACTAGGAAATGCTGCTCGAACTTGGGAACAAAGAACATTCGCCAAGGATACCACATGGTGTGGACCAATCTGCTAAGGCGAACCGACTGGTCGTGACTAAGTTTCTTCTCACTAGTAGGCGATGGGTGGGCTCCTTGGGGAAAGTAGTGGATGATTTTGAGAACTGGGTTCCTCACGTCAGTCTTACGCCTATACTCTACTGTATCCCTTAACGAAGAAAGCTGCCCGCAGAGGCAATGGGTGGGCCTCTTGGCTGTAGTATCGAACTGCAGAACCAGCATACTGCACATACATAGAAGAAAGGTTCATTGTGTTAATAGTGGAGGATAGCACTGCTGAACACTGATACAGCAGCAGCGGCCGTAGTCAATTCTTATGTAATTCAGAAGATGGCTAACGCACCCTCGGTTTCAGAGAGGTCCAGTTTTCTTTACTCCACAACAACGAGCTCAGAAGATGACACGTCAAAGGGTTGCTTTCATACAATCAGTTATCCCTCTTCAGAAAAGGTGCCCAGCAAGGGATCGACGATCACCGATGTGACTCTTTCATGGCTTTACTAGGGAAGTTGAAGCAGATGAAAAACCGTCCGCGTTGTATTTTCCTTGAGAACGTGCTCGGTTTTGAGACAAGTTCTGTACACGATCAGCTCATTTCTACACTTACAGAGCTTCGCTACGGGTATCAGGTAGGTTCGAATGAGTTATCGGTTGTTCTTGTGTCTGTTCGCTGGCTCAGGTTGCTTGATCTTTTTTATATACGTAAATCGAAACTGCACTTCTCATAGTCATTTGATGGAAACAAAGGGTTACCTCAAATCATCTCTGCCTCATATTCATATGATGACATAAAAAATGAAATTCTCTTTTGAAAGCAGTCCTATGGCTTTCCCAGTTGGTGGCTGCAGTAAACTCTCCGGTAAAGTGAGTCTTGTCTCGTCTCTGCTGCAAACCCTCTTTGCCCTTCCCACTAAAGCTGAGAAGAACTCTAACCCAGACAGTCCGCTCCAGACTTGTGATATTTCGCAAAATGTCCCCGTTGGTAAACGCTAGATTGCTCGTGAGTCTACGAGGTCATGTGAAGCTTCCATAGAAAGATTTTGGTCCAAAGTCACTTCTGTTTAACGTCTTGACGGTATTTCTCAGGCAAGAGTAATTGACCGCACATGGAGGATAAAAGGGATTTCAAAACTTAGCTAAACCCAATCCTATGCGAGTGATTTTGCGATGACATCTTTCATCCCAATTTGTATTAAAAACCCATAAGGTTTGAGCCATTGATCAATTCCTTTTCGGGATGTGGCAGGCACTCCAGTTCCATTCAAAGTCGTAGGTGCTTGCTAACGCGATATGGCCTATGCATACGGGAGTCAGCCGATATACAAGTCGGTGTCTTCACCCGACGTCACCGATGTTTTCGACTTCGATCGGTGCTTATCTCATCTTCTGAGCGTAGTCGCCCAAAACTTCGATCACGTCGGATTGACTTGTATGTATCCGCTCAGAGTAATAGGAGATGTCATCATTGCCGCAGGCTTTGAACATTCGTAGCCTTACAGTCTTGTTCGCTGCGATTGCAGGGGCATGTCAAGGAGTGGGGTTTGGCGCGGCGCCAGATCATTCTGCACCATTTGGTGAAGCGGGCAAGCGACAACAATCTAGGGGCATGGGCTGGTGCTGTGCCAAATCCACACCCTCTCCCCTCCTGACAGGCCCCAGCATCTGCAGCGAACAAGATTGCAGAGGTGTTTGTGGTTCAACAGTCGAACACAGCTGAAGGTTATATTTTACTGTAGTAACCTTCTCCTTACCAAAGATCATCTAAGGTGTATGACTGTTCTTTTCCATTTTTACGCATGGAAGCATTTGCTTCATAAATTGTACTATAAATTTACTGATTTTTCCCCCACGGTATAGTGCTGGATTGAGAGCCATAAGTAGGTCTAGGTTTTGAGGTATCATAATCTTTCGATGTACTTTTAGGAATTCATTTTGTCGCCGCTTCAATTTGGTGTGCCCAACTCAAGGCCTCGGTATTACCTTCTTGCATGCATCGACTGGTACGCCACAGAGCCAGCTAAAGAGATTTCCACGACGTTCGAAAGCTGCCACTCTTCTGTGCCAGAAGAAATACAATGCTTTTTGGACGAGTCACAGTCCAACAAGCACCTTTACCTGGAAAAGGATAGTCTTCAAAAATATGCTCTGACTTTGGACGTGGTTTCTTTCAACTCGACAAGGTCTGCCTGTTTCACAAAATCTTATGGCAGCTACATGACTGGATGCGGATCGTATTTCTGCGATAGGTAAATATTCGAGATGTGTCTCTCGACCAGTTGTTTTACAATTTTTTTCGTCAACTTTAGAGTGTTGCAATTGCAGGCTCGATCTTATGGACGGTAACCGCATCAGTGCGGATGCTCTCGCTGACGGAGAAGTTTTGGAAGAGGTTGTTCGTCTGTTTTCTCCTAGAGAAGTTGCCAACCTGATGTGCTTTCCAGTGGAATTCAAGGCACCTCCTGGTGCTACAGATAAGCAGATGTATCGTTGTCTGGGGAATTCTGTGAACGTTCGTGTAGTAGCTGCTCTTTTAACTAAGCTGCTACATAGCTAATGTAGTTCCACTCTTCCCGTTGAAGGAATTTTTTATCTATAAGTTTTTCTTTTGCTCAGAAACCAAATCAAGCTGTTATGACCATTTCCATCAGGAATTCTAGGTGAGCGTCCTCAAGTTCTTGCTAGTTCTATGCCACACGAGAAAAAGTGGCAGGGAGTACGCATACGTTTGCTAGGTTTTTCACTCGAAGAACTACTGTTGAGAGCTCTCTTCTTCACGTATCGATCACATCCAACTACAATCAATCCGTCATGATCTAATCTTCCCGTCATAAGCAAACTAGGTCATGCAGTTCTGGCTAAGCTACATAATTATTGCTGGGTAGGATGGAAGAAATGTCCGCTGGGATATCAGTGTGAACTATCAGAGGTATCTTTAGATCTATGTGATCTTTAGTGAGATTGTTGTCTGTAAAGAACGCGATGCTGCTTGCAGGATAGAGATCATAGATCCAAAATTGGAGTTCTACGGCCAGCATGGCTCTCCAATTCCTCCCGAGTGCTCAACAGAGCCCGAAGAAATATCACCCCCTTGGGCAGCAGTATACCCATGCCCGTCTTCCACCCCTTACCCACCCCGGCTGTGAACATTCTGCGGCCCCTCGCGACACCCGCGAAATATACGCCACTTAGCGATCAGGCAAAATTTTTTGTCTGCACAAAGAGAACTTCATTTATGAGAACGTGAATCATCCACATTCGCCATCTTTCAGTCGGAAAGTGTAGCTTAACTCGCCCACATAGCCAGTTATTCAGAAGGTTCAAAAACCCCGCAATTATATTAGAGATATGATAAGAAAGTGAATGAGCCCTTTAAAAAAAGTTTTTCTTGCTTTTATTTTGTACTCACGCATACAATGCAAGCTACCAAACAATTTTTTTTAAGAAAAGGGGGGGGACAACAAAATATTCTTTTTTATTCTTTCAACCCATTATTAGTGACAACAGTCTCCCACTTAATGGGCAGGTCAGCGATCCCCTTCTCCCAGAACTGAGGAGACTGGGAGTCGAAGAAGTCACTCACCGCCGTTTCACATCATCAACTTTGGTGAATTGTTTCTTAGCTAGAAAAGCCTCCTAGGGAGACGGAACAGGTGTTAATCGTGAAGCGAGCTAAACGATCGGGAAAAACAGGGAGGGCGGTGAGGGACAGTTTCCCAGCCCAGCTCCTCCAGTTTTTCCCGGGTCTCCTTTGCTATGTGGGGTCGGGCGTTGTCGTGCAGAAGGTGGACCGAGGCCCGTCTCGGCCGTTTTTCGCGAAGAGCTTCGTCGGTTTGCCCGAGTTGGGGTGCGTAGCATGGGCCAGAGGTGAAACAACTTCTGAGCCCCTTGCAAAGAGGATAGCAGCTCGCTGTAGCTACAGCATACGCGCGCGTCCAGAAGCAGCAAAGCAGACGCTTCTTCGGGTAGTAGACATCGGATCTTTGCATTGCGCTAGGGCGGCACGATTCGTCCTTGCGGGAGCCGAAAACGCGCGGTGCGCGCTCATTGGCGTTGTAGAGGGATCCAACTTGCTGTCCAGCATACAGAAGTCGGGCATGAGATATACTCCTTGGCGCTTAAGTGGGCGGCCGTGGGTTTTCTATAGTGACTGACCCGATTTGGCCCCCACAGATGCCTGTCAAAAATATCTCTCGACACTTGACCAAGCCTTCAACTCGATGAGGGATTTCCAATCCGCTCGCAACTTTCCTGTACCCAGACGGAGCGTGAGAGGCGGCGACCACTGTTGGTTTGGATACACCCAAGTACTTTGCTCGCTAAGACTGCCGAAGAAGTGTGGCTAGTTCCGGATCCTCCTTGACGGCGTCGAGAATGGCGAAGTCGTCGACTGTGTGGGGGCGTCCCGACCGAGGCTTATCTTCGAAGTTCGTGTCTCCTTCTTCGAAGCGAGCGAACCAGCGCTTGACCGTGCTAAGAGAAGTGGTGCCCTCTCCCAATGTGCTGTTGATGTTTTGAACGGTTGCCGTCGCTCCGGTCCCGCGAGCCAATTTTCGTAGTAGATGACGTGTCGAATTAGCTCTTGTGTGATTGCCATCGTGATTAAAGCTATAGGAAGCAGCCCAGCTTTATATACCCATTATGGAGAAGGTTCGAGAATGTTCTACAACTACCACTTGCTTGGTCATCGATATCGACCAAGATTCCAAAGTTCTCGAAATTTCAAAAAATTGGGTCATCTTTTTTTATCACCCTAATATATTGGTGGATAGTGGCTTTCAATTACAAACCTATGTCGCTGCGTGATTATCTGTGGAAGGAAAGGCAAAAAAGGAGAACACTCTGAGTAAAGCCGTGGCAGTCTCACTGTACGAATGGTCCGATCGTGTTCCTTTTATATCAGCATCTATTATGCAAACCATCAATTTCTTTCACTTTCTCTAGGTTGAGTGCCGTAATTCTTGTGCGGATACTGTCAGAGCATTTCAACATTCTTTATTAGCATTTCAACTTTCTTCATTTTGGTTCATTGCCCTCCAATTTTCAAGAAATTCTCCTCTCTCAGAAAGCAGTTGACATTCCAGAAAGCGGGGTCTGCGGCATCCACTCAATCCTTCTTTGTAAATCTATGATGATGTTTCCTTGTTCGGGTTCAATTGCGCGCAGCATAAATTGAAGGTCTTCTACCCGTTCCCTTGTAATCGACAGCGCGCTCTGCCAACGGGGTGAGTCGGATGTCACTATGCCTTTACAGAACCCACACTGTTAGGAATTGTGTTCATTTCAAATTCTTTTTCTTCTATTTCCTCTCAAACTCTTCTGTTAGAGCTGTTCCATCTGAGACACCTATCACTTTACATTTGATGCCATGATACATGGTGTAATGCGATGTTTCCTTTTCGTTTTATGAAACTTTTATCGAGAGGGTTTGTCCTATTTGCTAGTTCTGTTACTCCAACGCGGGTTTATTAGGTTCTAATAATTCTCACTTTGTCATTATCCCCTAACAGAACAGATAACAGAACAACATGAGATTGTCATTTGAGATTTTTCGATTATGAATGGTTTTCGGGAATTTGGAAGATCTCTGAATAAATGTTATGGATATTCTAGGCACTTGAACCACTTTTCTTTCATAGAGAAACCCCACGATTGCGTACTGTGGATAGTTCAATTACAAACGTATAGTCGCAGAGTTCTCTTTAGGAAGGACATAAGCGAAAGAAGTCATTGAAAACACTAATCAAGGCCCCCTTAGCAGTCTCGCTGTACGAGTCCTCAGGTCCTGCTCTTTTTATACCAGCAACCGTTCTTCAGGGAGGGTTTTTTCAAATGTTTCTTGATCAAAATATGAACTGAGTGTCGCTTCACAAGTAAAATTGTAAATGGCTCTTGTTTTTCGGTACAGGTGCTCAAGTATTTAACAGGCTATTGATATCCTGGAAAATAGGATAGCAGGCACTTGAAAAAACAACAAAAAAAAGAATTATTGTCATCTAGCACAACGATTTCTTGCCAGGAGATAAAATCTGGCGAAAAGACGGGCTGAAAGCGGGTTTTACCACGCAAATTATCGACACTCATGGGAACTGTGCATGAATTCTTCAACGAACGCTTTCTCTTTTTGTAAATAGCTGAAAACGTGTTGGAGGAGTAGAAGTTGAAAAAAATGGAAGAAAAGAATAAAACGGAAGAATCCGATTATGGGGTAAAATACGTTTCTTTACAGGTATGCAGCACATTTCAAAGACGTTATGGCATAAAACCTGACCGCAAGGGGGTCTAATGGAAAGAGCTGGAACGAAATATATTACACGCTATTACACATACGCTGGGGATTCCCCCAGCGGACAGACGTCGTATTTTGGTCGCTAGAGGGAGTAGAGTCGTATTTGCTCCGAGAAATTGTTTTGACAGGTGAGGGTCGTTTGTTCGTTACTGAGATATGGGGAAACGTGCTTGCCTCTGAGGAACTTCGCTGCGTCGCGAAGCAGAAATTTCTGCTGAATTTCGTGGTTTTTTTCCGTTTCAAATGTGCTGTACGACATCCCCGTCAGGAAATCGGGAAGGAGAGGGATCGAACTCTGCGGAAAGTTTCCACACGGGCCGAGCTCCGCTGAGAAAGGCCGTTTGTAGAGGATACCGATGATGTGTTCCTCGACAAGTCAAGTCGTTCATGTAGGTGGTAACAAGCTTGTCCTTAATATCGGCTGCGGACCCCCCTAGATAGAATCGCAGACGTTTTTCAGAGGGAGCATACTCACAGCCAAGGCGAATTCCCAGTGAACAGCCGCCTCCAATGTGGGAGAAATTCATCAAATTACATTTGACAACGGGGGCGCCAATTCGAAGCAACTTAAGATCGTTCATAATCTGCCGGTCGCGTTTGCTGATTCAGGAGTTTCTGAGCGGAAAGGGCAGCTAATCGACATGGACTAGACTTTCACTGCCCCAGCGTTCTACCGTCCTCGGTAAGATATACCTTCAGGACATTGACTCTGTCCCGCGCAAGGTGCTAGAGCCAAAGCGCTTCGGATCACAAAGTTACCCATTCAGCACATTGAAATGATGTCAAGGAGGTGGTTGCGATTCTCTGGAAAAACAGCGGAGGTGAAAAAGAATATCACATCCGTTTGACGAAAGATTATCTCAAACCTGAGCTAAAAGCGCCGGAACAGGCTCGTGGCGCGATTCCTGTAGCACGGCCGCAAGCCTGTTGGCGATTTAGGCCAAGCTTCTTACGCACCAAACGATATGATAACGAGTTGAAAGAAGCGAACTAATTTGCCGGTAAGGATTTCTGGCTGGGTTCATAGTTGCGTTTGCGCTGCGAAGGTACGCTAGCATTCTCGAGCGTTTCGAGCGATTAAGGAATGTTAGATATCAACCAGGCGACTAGGCCATGCCAACGCTAGGAAAACCAACGTAGGCTCAAGACGCTCGGCCGCTACCTACTGCCTTCCTGATCGCTCGAAACGTTGGCGCAAAGCATGAAGAAGCCACATTACGGTAACCTTTAGTAGGGTACCACACCACTACCAGGGATAGCGAGAGCTA